GAGTAGTATGGGTCTCTCTCTCTCTCTCTCTCTCTCTCTCTCTCTCTCTCTCTCTCTCTACGTGTGTATGTCGCTCAGTGGAGGCTACATTAATAGGTAATGCGGGAAACCTCAGGGATGAAGCAGAATATTAATGAGGGATTCGCGTCTTGCTCCACATTGGACATTTCTTGTTTAAAAAGCCTTTTTACGCATCAAAATGGTATGAGTATTGTTAGCCTATAGGCTATGGCGATATAGGCCTACGTGAAATTAACCCATTCGACACGATAACTGTTTAAGGCTAGTGTTAGTCGAGGGCAGTCCTAGAAAAACACGAAATTTGCTTTACGACGGCTAAAACGCTCCGAACGCAGTTGAACAATAATTTAATGAATATTTGGATATAAAAAAAAAAACAATCTGCTTTTAACGCGAGAAGACGTTGACTTTAAAATAGCCTATACATTTCAACGTGAAAGTCCAATGTAAGACTGGCGCGAAAAGACATTATTTTACAATATAGTGAATCGGCTGACTCTTTTCTTTGAACGAAAATAAAATGATATACGAATGGCAGTAGGCTATGAAGTACGCTCTCTTGTAGCTAAAAAAGTAGGTTATCAACCAGCATTCCGCTCTTTAGATTAAGCAGTAACTGTAAGGTGAGAAATTGGATGCCAATAGTGTTTGGCCGTATTTCCAAATATTTTAAAAAGTAAAAATATATATATATATTCGACGGACTAGGCTAAATGACCGAGTTTGCGTTAAATTAGCAATCAGTATGCACATTCTGTTTTGAAATATTAAAAATACAATTTTAGTTAAATGATCAAGTTACGAAATGTAGCTACTTTACTGCACACACGCACTAATAAGCAACTGCTTACTCGAATATAGTAGATGCGAGGCCTACTCCATTGTCAAAAATATGCTAATGAAATATCAACAAAGACGAAAGGCTCACAGGGCAAAACCTCTCACGTACAGCCATTCAACGTTAAAATTGCGTTTCTGTGATATTTTATTTATTTATTTATTAAAAGAAGATCTATTTCGACACATTCTTTTTCTCATTCTCTTCGTTAAAACGGTAACAAAAATAGGTAAACTACAATAATCATTCCCAATCCACAAGCAAACGGTATGGAATTGAAATGAAAGACCATTCAAATATATTAAGAATAGGCCTGACTCTGAAACAATAAGTTTGGTCGTATTGACGTAAATTTTGTTAAAACTACTTTTATACTTTTCTGAACGTTTTGATTGACGATCTTAAGCATGTATTGTTTACTTTTAGATAACACAAAATCCCATCGCAACTGTCCCAGTATAAATGTCTTAAAAGTATAAATTTATAAAAGTATAAATTATTCATGTTTTCAAGAATTTGGCGATTTGTATTTCAGCTTATTGTTTTAAAATTACAATGTCCCTCTAAATTTGGGATATACGTGATTAGAATCGAATATAGTGCAGATTAGAACTGTTAGTACTTTGCATACATTTAACAGATTTCCTGGCACATGGTATAAGGAATTAAAGGAAAACGTACTACCTGACGACGGTCTGTCCGAGTATCGTGTGCAGTAAACCCAAGCGGGCCACAGCATAGGCTGGTTAACTTGTCCATTCGTATTGGTCTGTGAACTATCCGATTCTGAACCTAGGCACTGATCCACATTCTCCCCGCGGGTCTTCAGGGGCTCTTCGCTCTCTATCTCTGCCTTCTTTCCTCCGCTGCTCGTATGTGTTGTGGAAGTTCCCTCTGCTGGTACAGTACTTCCCACCTGTCCAGTGCTAGGACCCGTAGGGTTGTGATTCTCTCGCGGGCCGAGATTGCCCTCATCGCGCGTGATGTTCGCTTCTTTCTTACGGCCAAAGTCCGGTCGCAGAATGTTGTCGATGAAGAAGTTTGTGATTCGGTGCGGGAGCTGCAGGTTCCCTGGAGCTTGCAGAAGAGGTCGTATGGCACCGTTGGACTCATCCGCCGCTCCTCGCTGTTCCGCGTCTCTTGCGCTCTGCTCATTCTCATCCATGCTGAGACACTTTCCACTTTCCGTCCTTAACCCTTTATCGCTCACCAGCACTCAGGCAGTCGCACCCCACTCCACGGGCGACTCCGTCCACTTTGTTCACGTCAGGAAAATGTCAAAACTGAGCAAGAAAATCTGTCAGTGAGCTTTAGCGAAAATAAAAAGCCTTTGCAAACCGTGGTCACAAAGGAAAAACATAGTTACGCCTTCCGATCACGGAATGTTCTGTTTTAGGTTGATGAACCGTAACTTGCCAGTTTGGTGCTATTTGTTTTCTGCGCAATGCTACTATCGGGGCGTAAGTGGCTACTCTGAGGACAGAAAAGTGGGGCTCCTAACTGCTCCTGAAATACTTTCACTCTGGATTTTTGTTCTTATTTTTAATACGAGCCCCCAGTGACGTTACACTCCGGTATCCTAGACACGTGCCTTTGACCAATAGAATAGCCAAGAGCCAGTCACATGGCCCTGATTCGAGAGTAACAGACAACACTCATCCTTGCACTTTTAAAGACACAGTGCTTCACCAAAACACAAATTCGGGCAGTGCCAAAAACGCAGCCTGCATAGCCTACTGAACACGGTCTAATCATAATCATACAGGTTTTCTTGTAGCGCAATGTGTGCTGTGCGTTTTTTGTATTTTTTTGTATCATTTAACCATATTTGGTCGTCAACTCACTTTCCCAATACACTCACGAAACTACAGATTTTAAAATCTGAATTTTAATGTAATATTTTTTTCTACTATTGATACTATTGAGTTCTAAGTTTTCTTAGAAGGGGAAGTATTTTATTGTATTATTTATATAGCAGTTTTGTTGAATTGGAAAAATGCATAATGTAAAATATGCGTCAAACCAAAACGAGTGGAGGCAACATCGTTCCGTATAACGGTGTGCTTGGTGTTCCCGAGCCATAATAACCATTACTGTTTTCTTGATGTGTGATGACATTTTTTGTGAAAAGCAGCAGGAGAAATTCGAGTTTCTCAGTATTCAGAGCAATATTATTCAATTTGACATGATTTACAGCGATAAGGATTTTCGGCATTCTTATTACAGAATCATGAGTACGCAGTATTTACACGTAATGGTGATTGGATGCTTATTTCTTTGGACAGGTGCCTGTGGTTCTTTAAACATAACCTGGTATTTCAAAGATTATAAATCTAAGTACAGTCGCGCCAAAAATGAAATAGTAGAACTTATTTTTCACTCGTTCATAAGCTTTAACCACAGCCTAGGCACTCTGGCAACGACTGAATCCTCGTAGCCTATTGCAGATACGGTTACTGTCTCGCGCTCTCCAGGTACCGCGGAGCAGCAAATGCATCGCGCACATCATTGTGATTCGGATTCATTTAATTTATCTTTATTCTCAATCAGGCAGCCTGGGGTCGTTATGTCTATGAATAGCGCCTAAGGAGCCTAGGCATTGGGCTACACTGACTGTGACCTTTACAGTGTATAGCACATCGAAATCAACACTAACAGTGACCCTAATGCCCTTAGTATAACGTTTGTAAAGACATCACCCTGTTTGAGGTGCCGGTATAGATGTTAGCTTCTCTCAATGAAAGTGCAGAATCTATAGCTTTTCTAACTGAAGAGGTTTCTCAAGAGGCCTTCTGTGAATGCAGTTCTCATTATAAAGTTTTTGTGGCGAGCCAAGAGCGTGCAGCCTCTTTTCAAATTGGTGCATATTATCTATCTAACCACATTATTTTAATGCCACTATACAAGGCATGTTTTTTTCTGTTGTTTTTTTTTTAACACCTTTCTGATTTTCCACATTTCCATACAGTCCGGATATATATGCATATATATTTGCTTTTCATTGTGGGTAATGTTGTTTTACTGTGGGCATAATTTAGTTCTCTTGTTGGGGGGAATAAACTGTGGACCAAAAATATTATTTAGTCATGTTTTTATATTGGCTACGTTCATATTGATGGCCTATTGTTGCGTGATGGAGATCCCCCGACAACAACCATGTGAAAAGTCCATAGCGCTACAATAGCCACTGGCCTGTTGTACAGCCTTTCTCAAGAGTGGAATGGACACGGCTCTAAACTAAGAGTCTTCAAGGATGCTTTGGCTTTAATCACAACGGGGCATTCTTCTAGAACGATTTTAATCACCCGCAAGACATTCACCCTAGACTCCATGCGCGGAATGGGTGAAAGGTGAAAGACAATAGAGCGGTTGACAGATCGCAAGCGCCATGGCCTGCCCTCTATCACTGTTTCTCTTATGGGCTGAAACGCTCGCTCTGGCATAAGAGCGAATTGCATTTTGCGCAATTGTTTGTTTCTTGCGCGTAGAATCGATTCATTATCAGACATGCATATCACAACAGTTAGGCTACATCATGCCAGCATTATTAGCATTGTAGGAGCCAGAACTTAGGTAATTAAAATAAAACAACAATGCATTAGATCAATGATGTTCCATAAATGAAGCATCCCTGTCTCCTCATTTACCCTCCACTTCAGCTGCTTCATGCATATTATTATTACTGTATGTATTCTGTGATGTCACTAACCAATATGAGGCGTCCCCTCCCATAACAAACAGTTAAGAGGCTGTTATAACAGCAAAAAGAATGAATCATCTATAATAAATATATTTCGAAAGTGCATCTATTTAAGGGTAAATCTTGAATATTCAACTTTATGTTCTATTATAGGCTACTACATCAAATATGATGGATTACATTATCATGTGATGCCATTTCAGGCAGGCTCATGCCGTTTTTCATATCACGTTAAGTTCACACTATAGCGGCTCTTGTAAGGACTTAGTGCTTTAAGGTAACCATAACTGCACTGGACCACTAACGAAACCCTGTGCATAGGATTAAGGCCATACTTTGGTGTTTTTATTTGCCTTGATATGACATCAGTCTTTCCGTTTTTTGTGTTGTCTGTGACGTGTCAGCCGTGCATGTTCACGTGCGCATCCTGTCTATATGTTGTTCTCCAGAATGTAGCTCACCCTGGGGACACTTCATTTACTTTGCCTTATTCATCAAAGATTTTGATGAGCTTTGCATTTCACTGCGCCGTTATGCCCACAGACAAAACAATGAGGTCTGGTTGGCAATTCTATACCTCTTCCTGAGCACTTAAAGGAAATTAAATATTTTCTACATAAGGCAGTATATTTCTAAACAATTCTATTGGCTTTGCACCTAAAAACCGTCCACAAGTGGAGCAGCAAGGAAAATGTTAAGGACACAGGGTATGGGAGGTGTCAATTAGGTAGAATAACATTCAGTCTTGTTTGTAAACTGATTCTCGCTGACATTTTTGTTGACTGTGGTTAATCAATAACTTTGGTTCTTAGGTAATCAAAGATATCTCTCTGTTTACATTGTTTAAAGTAAGTTTTGGTGATATGTTAGAGATAGGCTATACTTCTGCAAAGAGTTTCATTCATGTTTTCATCTTTATTTATTTATTATCTATTTATATAGACGAACAAAATAACGTTCATAGCACAATTAATTTGATCTACATTAGGTAAACGAAATAATTTTCTAAATATTCATTTAAAATATTCTTTTAGTTATGCAATATGAATAGTCTATGTAGCATTTTCTTGTTTGTAAAGAGGACAATGCAAAAATTGATCACACTAGAAGGCAAAAGTGTTTTCCAATCAACACCCGTCAATTAAGCAGGTCAGTGCCAGCGAGAGCGTCGGTAATTTGATTAAAAATGTATAAATGTTATAGAGCTAATATTCATGCATAAATGTGTATACACAGGCACAGATTCAGAGGAAATACAGATAGGTAAACCCCGTAAAATGCTTTGGTTTCCGGTTTTTGTTCAAATCTCCGAACAGACATGTCGATAGGAAAATGTCGAGGTGATGAGGCCTATCAATATATGATAGGCTAGATGGAGTCAGCATATAGAGCAGAGTTTTATTTGAATCAATGTATTGTACCAGTTTAGGTAGTGTTTGACCCTCTGTGTGTTGTCTTTGGTCTCTCTTGTGCTCTAACAAACAGTATATGCCACTGGCTCAGTCACTACAATAGGTGCTGACGCGCCTACTCGATTTGTGAATGGACGCGCTGGTGTGTGTGTGTGTGTGTGTGTGTGTGTGTGTGTGTGTGTGCGCGCGAGCCTTGCAGCCTGGTGTAAAGGATAACTACCCCCAACTCTCTCACTGTCTTGCTCTCAAAGATACATACTCATACTAACACGGTCAGTCAAAGCACGCCGGCGATATGAGTCCTGACACCATGCAGGGCAGGATCCAACCCAGCCAACCACCATTCTAGGATCTGCAATGCACGATGGAAGCTATTTTCGATGTTACACACAAATATCTTTTTTCTTCCCAAATATTTGTAAAGCTCTTTATATGTTACGATTGGAATATTGTCTAAGTCTCGTAGGACTCCATATCTGACAAACGCGACTTAAGTGACCGCACCAGAAATGATTTTAGCAATGCCTGTAATCCACCGCCCAATATTTGGTCCAGTACCAAAAGTGAAACCAATACCTCTGTGGGTATTGGTCTAAATGCATGACTGATGTTTCTTGTTTTAAATCCAGATCCCTCCATCAAAGCCAGGGAACTGTTGGGGTCCGGATCCTAGCAGAGTGGACACTTTGAAAACGCTTTGAGTTGATAGGTTTTAATGCTTTTAAGTCTAAAGCGTCTGATCGTCCTGGCGTAAATAAGTCTCCTTTCAGTCGACACAGTCTGGCTGTCCCTGACCCACCGTGCATGTGGCGTCCTCCACAAACCTAATTAGATGGGATGAAGTTAATTGAATGCTGCTCCCATCTTGAGACCCTTTTTGGAGAAAATGGCTTCATTGACAGTCAAAGCTTTAGCCTTGTATCTCTCTCCAGTTTTCCCACCTTGAAGATTTCAGTGCATCGTAGAAACAAAACTGTTTTGCTTATATACCTTTTTTCCTCCAACTAAGGTAAAAAATTCATTGATGCTGCTTAAAATATTTTTTATACGTGTAATGTCGGTTGGC